CCGCTATTACCGAATCGCCGGCAACGATACTCTCCCGGGCGATGGCGGATACGAAACGCCATTTTCTCGGACTAAATCCAAAGGCGGGAGGGGGGCACCGCCGCCGCGAGAGCGGCGAGAGCGATGAGAACCACTGCCAATCTTTTGTCTATTAAATGTATTCAACAGCGTAATAGCGGCTGATATTACCAATTGGACAATGAAAGAGATGGCAGCGCGATTTATGGTAGAAGGGGCAGAAAGGAGGGCGGGGGTTGGATGAACGAGTGATAGCCGGAGGAGAGAGGGTGAACCGAGAAGGAGATTTCGCCAAGAGATCTCGACCGGTCTTGCCAGTTGATCGAGCGTCACTCCGATTTTCCGCTGGACCTGTGCCCGCATTCATGCTCGTTCCTTCGTTCAGGGCTGCTTCGGAAATGTCACTCGGGTGCCTCCATGTATAATCTCATCCTTGTTTACATTGAGAACAACAAGGATAAACGATACATGGAGGGTAATAAGGCCTGTTCTTTTTCGCTGAATTATTGCACCAGTTCATCTTTCTTCCTTTTCTTTCCAGGAGAAAAGAAGAGGAAGAAAGATGAACTAGTGCAAAAGTTCAGCCAAAAAGAACAGGCCTAATGTTTTCAAACACAGCCTAGAAGATCCTCGGAAAATCGATGCTGGAGAAGCTCGCCGACTCTCTGTCCTCCTGTCAACGATTCAATCTCAAACGGAGCATGAAAGAAAGCTCGGCTCGTTAAGATAACGAGCGCGCTTAGACGACGCGCTCCCTCTCGATTTCTCCCGAGAAGGATGATCCGTTTTGAGGTGTAATTATGCGGGTAGATACGTGCGTACCTGACTAGATAGTTTCAGACTGTCGACCCGTCAAGAAAAATTCCGATGTTTCTATCTGCTCTCTGTCTCCCGGTCCATGAATCTCCTTTTTACCCCCACGTTCGCTCCATTATGAAAGGACTGCTTCCAGGGCGAAACGGAATCTTAATTAGATTGTCGGGGCCAGTCTCACGTTGGCAGGTCTCTATCCTAGTGGCCTGCGGTACTTTGTGATATCTTAATGCGAATGGACGATGCGTTAAAACGTATACAACATGATTCTTCTCGATCTTGCGCGACTCATCCCGCTCACTCGGGTCGTTTTTTACCTTGAATTATCATATATCGAGTCGGTTGTCGAAAGAAGACGTCCATCTCTGACGAACGCTCGTTTTGTCTTCCTCTGGACAGAGGAAGATCCAAATAAAACCCGACGATTTTAGCCGTCAGACACGCGCTATAGAAACAAGGTAATTGGACGATTCTTGTTCCTACCGTAAAATATCGTTAACTTGTCAACGACGGAAAAAAACATGGCCGTCCATTAAGGAATCGTCGTGAAACACATTTCAATCAAGAAAAACTTTGTACGCGCCGACGGATTTCCACGAAGAAACGAAGAAACGACATCGTCACGGGATAGGTGAACACCCTGATGAATAAAAAGAATCTTGTGTAATGAAGAAAAAACGGTCGGCGTTTTAACGTTTCCGTACTCCGTTCGCACAAGATGGAATTATCGTGTCTAGAGTTTCTCCTTTTTGTCGAATCATCATCTCGCGTAAGATCGACCGCTAACATCGGCGGCATGAAAAGATCTCTCTCCTTCTTCCTCGTCTACGAATGAAGACGCTAAAAGCCGAACGCGTGGGACGATCGTAATCCGACACCGCGGGGCACTTCTTCGAGATCGAGAGACCTTCTCTCGCCTGTCGATTTTTCTTTATTTCCTCTCTCTCTCTCTCTCTCTCTCTCTCTCTCTCTCGACAGCCAGTGCAGCCACTTCTAGAGAATAGGACTCGTTTCGTTCGCGAAGTAAAATGATATAGGCTCCGACACCTCGTCCGACACTAACCGGCAGTCGTGATTTCTATCATCGTTTAGAATTCGCGCCGATTTTACGTTGCCGATTAATCACACCGAGTGATCCATATAATCCGGCGTGTTTAGCTTCTGCTAAGTTTTCAACGTTGTTTGATTTTGCGAACCGTTTGTTTGCTCGCGATGTATCGCGTCGAGTCGTTTTCTTCACGGACTCGTTTACGGTCTGAAAAAATTCGTCGAAAAATCTCCAATATTTATCTTGCTAATTTTGAGAAAAGCTCTGCGAAGCTCTCATTCCGTTCTGTCCACACTGAAAAAAATGTTCTGGTTATATTAACAAGAGTTACGAACAAAATGCATTTATACTAAAATTCTAGTAATTAAATTTTTGATTACTTTGATTAGAATTTTCGATAGATTAATTATATTATACACACGAAGAATGATTTTGCTAAAGTATCTAAAAATTTAGCTTAATCTAAAAACAATTTTGTTGGATTATTAAAATAATTACGTAGGAATCTCAAGTATGATGAGCTATGCTGCAAAAAGTCTTGACATTTTAGCGAGTTTAACGTTTTACATAATTATTTTGATGTGCTACAAAATTATTTTCACATTTATCTCTAGTTAAATTTTTAGCACAG